GGAGGCTTTGACCCCAGAGCATGAGTGGATGTGGATGGCTGGGACAGAGCAGGAGGGGATCCCGAGCTCTGACCCAGGCTGAGGGCATGGCAAGGCTGCTGGCTGCCCCGTGGCAGGTTGTGGGGCTCAAGGTCTCTAAGGGACAGTGGCCCCAGTCAGGCCACGGGGTCTCTCTCAGCTGTGCAGCACTGCAGGGCTTGTGATCCCCCCTTCCTTCAGCAGGTTGTGGCTCCCCCTTTCTCCAGTAACAGCATAAAGCTTTAGATGAGTTAGGACTGGGTGTGAGGGCCAGAGGTGCCTCCAGCTCCCCTGCCCTGCTGCCCCCCCAGGGGCAGATCCTGGACTGTGGACTCTTCCAAGGCTTTGGCACTGAGGCCATGCAGGACGTGTCCCTGGGTCTGATTTGCCTGGGCACCCCAACTAGCATCCTGCACTGGGTAATTACCTTCTGTCTCCCTAAATTCCCCCTGCAGTTTCAAGTGGATATGGGATTCTCCTTCACTTCCAGTCCTAATCTGTTGTGTAGCATTGCTGCGCGCTGCTACGCCGCTGCTGCCTTCCAGCCCAGAGGTGGCTGCATTGCAGTGGTGGGTGAGTGACTCCTGCTTTTGTATCTGGCTTGTGGAATGCTTTGGGACCCTGCAGGGTGCTGTGGAGCTGTGGTTAGGGCATGTCAGGCTGCGGGGCTGGCCGGGGCAAGCCAGGCAGACTCTGGGCTGGTGGTGATCCCCCAGCAAGTCCCCGTCACACAGTGCATCTCTCCTCTCTCCCAGCAGCTGGTGGGGATCACGTTGCTGAAGTGCCACGTAAGGCTTTCCTTGCCCTGCTCAGCCCCATAAACCCCCTCAACCATGTGAGCAAGGTCTAATACAGTTTTCATTGCAGACGCTGGTTGCTGCTTCCCTCCTCTTCCCCTCCTGGGTGAGTACTATCCCCAGACCACCATGCTTGTGCACCCCAGAGCAGGAGACAGCAGCAGCTCACAGGCTGTGTCTGCCCTCCTTCCAGGCTGTCACGCTGCCCTGAAGCAGGAAAGAGCTGAGCTAAAGGCTGGTAAGAGTCTGTGGCTTCCAGCAGGGAGCAGCTCTGCTCTGCCCTGCCCATGGAGATTGAGGGCAGGGAATTCACAGACAGTGTCTTCCTGGGGCTCTGTGGTGGGGTCAGGCTGAGCACAGGGCTTGGGTGTCTCCACCCAAGGGCTCCTGGAGCTGTGGTGAGGTTTGCTGCCGCTTACCCCCTTCTCGCTGCAGGATCCAGTGTGGCAGGCTTGCTCCAGAGCATCCAGCAGCTGCTGGTGCAGATACTGCAGACATCTCAGCAGCAGCAGGAACTTCTGGAGAGCCTGGCCAGCGACACCGTCTCCCACCTCCACCTCCTCTCCCACAGCCTGGTGCAGGTGGGTGAGACCCTGCACCAGCTCCTGCTCCGGCCTCAGACCCACTTTGGCCCCCTCAGCCACTGCGTCCCCCATGTGCCCCTTTTTGAGGGCAGCACGGGGGTTCTCTGCTCCCCTGACACTCCCCACACCTCCCTGGATCACAAAGAGGAGCCTCGGGTGTCCCCCACCACTGGCTGCACCCCCCCATGAGTGCCACCATCACCCACCCCAGGAGCAACCACTTTGCCACACAGACATGGCACAAATCTTTATAGCAGAGACCCCAGATATTTTGGAAGTTTATAGAAGAGAGACATTTTAATAAAACTAAAAATAACTTTTGTACCAATGACAGCAATTGACTGATTCTTTCCCCCTTCTCCTGAGGGTGTTCCCCTTCTCACTTTCGAGATGAGCAGAAGGGGGAACTCAGCTATTTACAGCCTCCAAGAAACTCCCAGGCCACACACCACAGGGCAGAGGTACTTTTCTTTGCCTCTGCCCACTCCTCGATGGCTTCCAGTTGTGCCTGGGGCTGGCTGTGCCCTGGCCAGGAGCACATTCTGCCAGGCTGTGGAGGGGAGAAGAGTTGCTGTCGGGGCTGGGGAGGGCAGGGAGCTCAGAAAGGACACAGACTGCATCCTCCTGCAAGGGAAGGGGCCAGGGTGGGTAATGTTGGGCAGCACTGGGGCTGGGCAAGCAGCACATGCTGCAACTCACCAGGTCCTCAGTGGGTCAGTTGCAAAAGGTAAGCTGGGGCTGTCACAGTCCGCGCTGCAAACTTGCAATAGGCTGCAAGTGAATCCCCTCCTGCTTCTGGGGCTCAGGACACTGGTGACTGTCAGGTAGCAGTGGTTGCAGACATGCCATGGCATGTTATAGTTGGTCAGGCGTTCACTAGGTCTCCTATGAACCCCCATCGTCTCCACGAGCATGCCCACATCCTCCACGGGGATGGGGCAGATGTGCCAGCTGCCTCCAGAGTCTCTGTCATGGTTTGACTCGGGATCAGCAATTAAACCAGCAGCAACAATGCTCTTGGTTCCCTCCCCATTCCCCCAAAATAGGGCAAGGAGAGAGATAATATGGGAGAATTTCTGCATTGAAAACTAAACTAGACAGGCTTAATTAAATGCTAATGACAAAAGAAAATATGTACAATTAAATAGAAAGATGTTCAGGAATGTGCAAAACCCCTTATCACCTCCCCCCCCACCCCCAGCAACTCCCAGGGCATCTCCTAAGCTGTCAACAGTCCCAAAATGTCCCGGAGCTGCCAGAGAGAGTGGCAGAGCAGACAGGAGCTGAGGGGAGTGGAATGAGAGGCAGGAACACAAGGGCCTGGGGATCAAAGGAGGCAGATAGACGGAGTCTTCCCCAGACGCTGGACATGAATGGAACAGAAGGGAAAAAGAAGCAGGAAGGAAGTTGTCTTCCATGATCTCCGACCTTACACCAAAGTTATGTAGATACATGGAATGGAAGCTGATGCTCAACTTCGCTGTCTATCTAGTCCACCTTCCCTGCAGGGGCTACAAATACGACTCTTCTGCTTTCAGTAGCATCTCTGAGGCAGCAGAGCAAGAAGTGACCTTGGTGTCTCAGCAGTAGCACAAACATTCCAGAGTTATCAGTCCACTGGCTGGAACACTTGCTGCTAGTTAAGAGAGAGCTCAATGAAGAAAAAAAATCAGTAAAAAGAAAGCTGGCTTCATCCTG